AAAATATCATTTGAACCTTCACCTACCCCTGAGTCTAACTGCTGTGTAAGTCTGTGTGTGTGTGTGTGTGTGTGTGTGTGTGTGTGTGTGTGTGTGTGTCGACCTGACATTCACTCAGTTTCACCTCACCAGCTAAACCTTGTAACCTTTCCACCAGACAGAAGGCCAGCACGTACACATTGAAGATTATAACAAGCATTCAAAAGCATTTAAGATTATAGATTTAACTCAACAGTTTAAAGTGGTTATAACTGCACCTGTAATAAAGGCTAATTGGGTACCAATATGTTTAAACATCTGAATGCAATATCAATATTAATTATTAATGCAATGGTAATGATGGTTATTAACAATAGCAGCAAAATATTTCTCTAATCCCCACACTGCTCAGTGTGTCTTATAAGCAGGTTTGGAGCAGATCCTCAGTGTTTCTTTCTCTCCCTCTCCTTCTGTAAACTTCCTCACCAATTTCTTTCTTTCTTTTTCTTTTCTTCGGAAGGTCTTTTCTGTTCTGATAGTAATATCTCAAAATAAAAAATCCTAATAAATTTCTAATAAAATATGACTGCCATTATAGCAAAAGCAGTAATGATGCACTTTGGAAAATAATTCTTTTGGGCATTTTTTTGGCCTTCAGATAATAATTCTCATTCTCGTCTTGTCCTGTGCAGCTATACTGCCGGACAGGACAGGCAAAAAACAGAATATAATAATCATGGCTGTCAGTGTTAACGCATTTAAGCCCCATTAACGCGTTAACACAAATTTCATGACTAACGCGATTAACAATTAAGCCATCTGAGTGCAGAATGACTTAAAATCCCTGAAATGTCTCTGTCAGTGCATTTTGGGCAGTTTTTCTAAAGCTTGTGCAGAAGCCCCCCTGCTGGATGAGCCCCATCCAGGGGTCTGCTTTGGTCTTTTCCAAAAGAAAAGAGAGAGACTGCAGCAGTCCAGGAGTTTGGTTAATTGTCTTTAATTAAGTCCCACAAAAGATTTGTTTACATGAAAATGTTTGTGAGGCTTAATCTGAATTCGGTGCAGCCAAACTTGAACTTCTTGTTTTATAGTAAACAGCACGTGTGACTATAAAGATGGTTTTCTGGAAACAGAAATGGGCAATTTTATAATTAGCAGAGTCAGAGATAACTAGGAAAACAATCACAACACATCATCTACTCAACACAAGCAACATCTCACAATGTCCACAAGGGGTCACTGCAGACCCAGAATTGTCTAAATAGCGCATGTCTTCCAAGTTGCCAATAGTGAGGCTTTTTTTTTTTTATGAACTTTATTTAGAACAATAACAATGACAATCTCAAAGAGACAAGCGACATATTAAATCAATCAGAACAGAATCACATCTCCTATACACCACAATGAAATCGACAATAACTGAAAGTAAACATACATACACACATACATATATACATATATATGCATATACACATGCATACATACACATCCATATTCACACATCTACATAATAATAATATAAAAAGATGAATAACCAATACAAAAATAAATAAGAATAAAAAAAGAATGAAAAACAAGGAACAGAAATAAAGAAGACAAGGGGGATCATAAAATCTCTAAAAGTGAGGTTCCATAAACAAGACACATAACTTAAATAAGGGGCTAAGAAAAATCAAACTCTTCTAAAAATCTATGCAATTTGATTGCTTGGGGCTTATTTATTAGCTTAAGAGATTTACGGAACAGGGAGAGGTCGTTTTTAAGAGCAGGCCATGAAGGGGGGGATTTAGCATATCGGCATTTATGTGTGTAATACTTTGTTATAATAATGAGATTGTTAACTAAAAACTCACTATTTTTGTCCTTAAGGATTACTCCAATTTGAATATTTTGAAAAGACCAAAAATCAATATATCCATACTGGGACAATATTAGGACATGGAGAGATTTCCATAAGTTCTGGATTGTCACACATCCATAGAACATGTGCTCTGTTGTTTCCAAAGTTGTTTTACAAATATAACAGTTGTCTAACACAAATTTAAATCTGTCTCTCATAAATTCATTGGAGGGGTAAATATTTTTGTAGTTCTAAAATGGACTTCTTTAAATTTGGGGGGAATTGGAAATGTTAAATATTTGGTTCTGATCAACGAGATCTCAGATTTGTTATAATCTTTAAAGACGAGTGAATGTTTTGTCCTACCTGGATATAAGGTGTTAACCAAATACCTCCTCAAAAACTGATTATTGCATTTTCCATTAACCAAGTCAAGACCATCTAGTTTAACTTTATGCAAATTTGGAGTCTGTATATTTGAAAAATTGTTCTTTACCGTATTTACAAGGACTGTTGGGATATTCTGTGAAACCTTGTTATAGAGCTCGAACGAGCAACTCATGTCATATTTCTCATTAAGCCTGTTTAATTCAAGTATATCTCCATTTTCATCCATTATATGTGTCACAGACCAAATTTGTTTTGTCATCCATTCTTCCACAAACATAGATTTCCCCCAATTCAATATCACCCTATTATTCCACAGTGGAACATTGTGGGGACTGATAGTGAGGCATAAAAATGGCAAGCTAGCAACAGCTAAAGGAAACCATAGAAAAGTCCTTTATTCCTCATCCCGCTGATTGTAGTCATTGCAGGAGATTACAGCCAGATTATAATCAGCATCATGTTAATGAATCTGCCAAAGTAAGAACACTTACAGATTCATCAACTCAATCACACAAAACTGCATCATAGCTGCGTCACAGCAGCTCCTTCAGTCATTCCCACTCTGTGTGCTGAGCACGTGACCACTGGTGCGCTTGTTTCCTTTGGGTGCGCTTGATTCTTGCTTCTAGACATCCTGAGGCCGAGTCAGAGCAGGAAGTTGGAACAATGTTTTTATTTTTGTGCAAAGCTAACTGAAGCTTGTGCTGTATTAACATAATGATTAAAATCATATCAGTATATGTGAGTACAAACTTTAGTCTAACTTTTTATTCTAACTGTATTCAGCTTGAACCAGAAGAAAAAGAAGGACAATAAAACTATGTTTCTATTTCCTGTTGCTACATTGTAGAGGGCGACTTTGCCTCTAAACAGGAACATGTGTACAGTCCTGCATCAGCAGCTTCATTCTTATACAGACCTTTCTACTCTGTGTGTTAAACTGAGCTCTATGTTTGCTACATAGCAGTCAATGAATCCAGTTTTTACACCACAGTTAAGTTAATGTAGTTAAATCTGTGTATTTGTAACTCAAACATTCAGTGTTTTAAACAGAAACCTGACTTTGACATATTTAAGTTGGTATGAACACAGTCAGAGCTGCTGCTGCTTTTATTGTTCTGTTGCTTTTTCAAAGCTTTCTGTGCAAATCAATAGAAATATTTATTGTTGCATCTTAAAGCTGCCAGCACAGCAGCAGCATGAGGAGAAGAGTGTTTGCTCAGGAAATACACGGGTCCCTGAAGAGTTCAAACAGGAAATATTCCTGCATTAAATCTGCAGTTCAATCATCAGCAGATTACTGTCAGTGTCATCTGTCACCAGGCAGGTTTTAACAGGCGTGTAAGCCACATATTATTAGAACACCCTTTTATATTTGGATGATAAACACATTTAGTTGTGTTTGGTCTTTAACTTGTGCTCAGTTTCCACAATGAATTCATGATGGAAATCTCTAATAAACTATCAAAACTGACACTATTTCCCCCACCACACTCTCTGTCGGTGGCTGGTGCCCCCATCCTCTGGTGAGTTGGTGGTTCTTGGTGCTCGGGTGTGTTCTGGCTAATGGCTGCTTGGTGGGGCCTGGCCCCCCTGGCTCTGTCAGGCCCCTGCTTGGGTTTTTGTTTTTTAGGCAGGTTTGCAGCAGATCCTCAGGGTTTTTTTTTTCTCTTCCTCTCCTTCTGTAAACTTCTTCAGCAGTTTCTTCTTTTTCCTTTTCTGTTCTGATTGTAATACCTCAAAATAAAAACTTCTAATAAAATATGACCATTTTAGCAAAAGCAGTAATGATGCACTTGGGAAAATCACAACACATGTAAGAAGAAGAAAGTTCAGATATGTGTTTAAAATTGTAGGGAGTAAAAAGTAGTTAGAAAAAAAAAACTACTCAGGTAAAGTACAGATACCTGAAAATTGTACTTAAGTACTTACTGCCCAACTCTGGAGAAGTTTTTATTACTCACATTATGTAAATTAACTACACGGCTCTACACTAACTTTTTGCCTTGTGTTACCGCGCCAGATCCGCGGCCTCGAACCGTAGTAAACCTCTGGCAGTTACTTCAAGGTTCCGTAACTGGCTCGTAGCCGGCAACCAGCTTACTATACAGGTCAACTCCGCTCGCAAAAAGATCGAAGGAGGCGTAGGAAACTGCTTCACCGAGCTTTATTTCTTCTCTAAGGCACGAACACCGCGTACAGTGGGCTGAAACAGTTTACTCACAGCGAGCATCGCCGACACAACTCTGGCTGTCGAGGGAGTATTATATTCCTTTTATTTATTGTCTTTCCGTCTCTTCTGTAGCTAACCGTTACTTTTCACCTTCTCCGCTCTCTCTTCACACACCGGCGCAGTCCCGCTACACACAACCCGAAAACATTACCCATCTGGTTTCACCCTTAAATCTCACGATTTTCTTTTCCAGTATAAATATTTATTGCACTTATTAACTGCACATCAACTTCGTAACAGTTGAGACTGAACATAAAAACAAATAAACATAAAAACAACAAATGTCTCACGTTGTGTTGTTGCCGCAAAATGTTGTCCTGCTTGAAATTCCGTCTCCACCGTTGCTCGACACTGCGTGTATAGAGCAGGTAGTGCAACAATAGAAAAATAGTTGCGGGACAGCACTGTGTAGCGTTTGTCTAGGGTGTTGATCATTTTCCTAAATCCCTCGTTTTGCACAGTGTTGATGGAGCCATATCTGTGGTCAGGTGATTGTTAGGTAAACTGACACGGATGGATTACGTGGCAGAAACACACACGGACACAAAATAGTTGTGATGCAAGTTTATATACAAGAATAGGGAATATTTACAAGGAAGGGGGCTATATACAGTGATAGATAAAAATGTGCCAGGAGATTAACACCGAAGAGATGAGACGAAGCCGAGGTATGCGGGTAGGCAGATGACGCACCGGAGCTACCTGACAACAAGGAACAAAACAGTTTACGGCGTACCGTTGATAGCCGAAAGTTAAACACAAGTGGACGGAGAGAGTTGGAGAGCTTACTTGAAACACAAACCACGGCTGCTGCAGTGACCGCAGCCCGATGGAACGTAGCTCTCCGTCGCGGATCCACAGTAGCCAACACAAAAACCTAGGCAGGCGGGCAAGCAGTGGAACAGGCTAAGACAAAAGAGAAGCAGGCAAAACGTGGATCCTTAAAACATACAGCTCCACAGCGTAGAATCAACAGATTCAGCTTGTGCTAACACGTTACCACTTGTGACAGCGACAATACTCCGACACCAGACGTCCGTGACTCTGCTCCCTAAAAGCGCTCACTGATGACGTCCGATGCGCCGCAGGTGTGCCGGAATGCCATCAAGCCCCGCCTCGCCTACCTATACCAAAAAGGAAAACAAAACCCAAACAACAACAATACACCTACCCACCACCTCCTAACAGTGGTAAGTGATAGCCTCCGTAATGTCTTTGTGCCTGCGGGAGTTCGACGGGTATAGGGAAGCGCTGTATAAGGTTCCCGTTATTGGTGTTTGGGTGGTTGACCAGGACGGATTTTCTCCTGTCACTTTCTCCTCATCCCTGACGTGCTCTCCGTTGTTTTTTCCCTGCTAATTTTAGCATCACACGGCACAGCTTCTGTATCACGTGGTATAAGGCTCCGCCCTTGTCATTTGTTGAGCAGGAAGAGTGAGCGCTTGTTTTCATGCAGATTATGTCCCGGATCAAAATGCGGTACAATCGTCTTTTTTTTTTATTTTGTTTTTTTAAATCGTTGTCATTTGGAAATGAGATCGCGATTTTCTAACGATTAATCGTGCAGCCCTAAACAACATCATAAAATATATGGCTCTTGAAGTAACAGCCTTATGACCCACATTAAAGTACAGTAGTAAAGGCCTATTTAACGCCACAAACAGTTTACACGAGACAATTTTATTTCTGATATGAATGTTATTTATTTTAACTGTCATAAACAGGATGTGACGAGTGACATTAGTAACAACTGTACTGCATTAAAACACAGCAGCAGGTGGGATATCCAATCTTTAAGTGATGACCTGGTGAAACCTGCTTCTGGGTCCAAACGACTCTGAGTTTATTAAGGCTGTTGTGTTTTTAACATCTTTTAATGCTTTGAATCTTCTTCCATTTAATCTGAACAAGCCCCTAAAAAAGTCAGTGATCACTGTCGGCCTCTCTCGGTTGTTATCACCACTGTTCATTTTAAAGCTCAGTTTTAAAAACCTTAGGCTGTAACTACAGCCCATCTCATGCAGCAGTATATGAATGACTAACCTCGTATTGTGGATGGATTATCTCAGTGGTTCTCCTGACTGAAGTTTGGTCCTTTTACAGCATCCTGCCATGCGATTACATTTGTCACTAACCATCATTGAACATAATCACAATCATACTGAAGTTCCACCTTAATACAAAGATCATCCTCTGACTGAATGAAAGAGAAGAAGAGGTGTAGCGTTCACAACAACATCTGGATTTTTAAGGAGATTTTGAGATAATATTTTATTTTAAACTTCTCTTGATTTTTCACTTTTCTCCTTAAATCAGACTCACAATCTGATTGCAATTCTTTGCCAAAGTTTACAGCGACCATAACAGATGAAGTCAGAGGATGATTAGTGGCAGAAACGGGCTTCCAACTTATCCCATTAAGTCACCAGCTGACACTAACAGAAAAAAGATATAAACACATTTCATCTTTAAAATGACTCGACAACAGCAGTCTGTACCTGGAGAGGATGACATGTGGCTGTCTGATCACAACCAATACAAACCTCAGTCAAACGTCACCTTTGAACTAAAACTAAAACAAACAACTTTTTCTTTTCAGATTTTCACATTTTTCTTGTAACATATAAACAAACTGAAAGCTCTGTGATTTTATGAAAATGTATCCTCATGGAGTTTGCATGTTCTCCACATGTTTGTGTGGGTTCTCTCCGAGTACTCTGCTTTCCTCCCACAGTCCAAAGACACACAGTGAGTGTGGCTGGGTTATTGGATCTTTCTAAATCTCCATAGGTGTGAATTAGGGCTGGGTATCGTCACTGATTTCTAGAATCGATTCAATTCCGATTCACAAGGTCCAGAATCGATTCGATCCACGATTCGATTTAATTCGATTCGATTTAAATCTGGGAAATTTTGACAGTCAGAAATATAATTCAGATCAGTGCATTTACATATTTTTGTATCAATAAAAAGGAAGCTGACACACGCAAGACTTTATCACAGGTGTGAGCGTCACAGCAGATGCCTTTGTGTCAAAGTAGCTGAAGATAAAACACAGAAAAACATGAAGGTGATTTTCCGGGCCTGGGATTTTATAAAAATATTCTGCAGTACATCAAAAACGAAAGAAAACCATTAATCAACATATGAACATTACCTCTGAAGTTACAGCGGTTTTATTAGAGACACGGTCCGTGTTGGGAAGGTTACTTTTAAAATGTATTCCATTACAGAATACAGAATACATGCCCCAAAATGTATTCTGTAACGTATTCCGTTACGTTACTCAATGACAGTAACGTATTCTGAATACTTTGGATTACTTAATATATTATCATGCTTTTTACAACAACGTGAATGTACTATTGCTGTGTGATTTATTACTATTACTGAAGGTCCGCGACTCCGAACTGTAGTAAAGGGACCTCTGACTAATACGGCGGGGTCCCTGTCGGCTCGTAGCCGAAAAATAGCTTTACTTTGTTGTGTGGGTCAACTTTTCTTGCGAGAGACAGAGAGAGGCGTTGAAAGGCTGCTCCAACGGAACTTATTGTTTTCGGAGGAAAACACGAACACGGTGTACAGTCGAGTCTTAATAGCTTACTTACAACTGGGCTCGTCAGGCTCTCTTCTTGGCTGCAGTGGTTATTATTATATTTACATGCTTCCAGCTCCCGTTTTTCCTCGATGACAACTCGTACCTTTCCACTCCCCTTTTTCTCCCTCCTCGCGCTCACAGACCCATAACGTGTATGGCAGTCCATTCTCCCTGCAACACGGACTACACTGCCCATGATGCTCCATTCTTTAGAGCTATACCTGTAGCATTCTGCCTGTTAGCTTAGCACAACAACAACAACAACAACAACAACAAAAAGGCGCTCTCTCACCCAGGAAACACACAGTCGCAGAGAGAGAGAGAGCGTCGCCCTGTAACCATGGCAACCGTAACACTGCCGCCTGGAACAACAGAACGTAGCTGTCAAACAAAACCCAAACAGTCCTGACCCGCGACAAAATGAAACAGGAAAGTACCGCAGTGTAATCCATTTATTTCAACAAAGTAACTGTATTCTGAATACCACCTTTTAAACGGTAACTGTAACGGAATACAGTTACTCATATTTTGTATTTTAAATACGTAACGGCGGTACATGTATTCCGTTACTCCCCAACACTGGACACGGCTAAGCATTTTGCATTTTGAATAATTTTAAAAAGTTTAAATTTGTTCAGTATTGAACAGCAGAAATGAGGTTTTCATTTCGGAAGAATGTAAAAGGGAAAAAAACAGCGGCCGACAGCGCTGTAAGCAACAGTAGACTTGTGCGTAACAAGCAAGCGAATAATGAAGAAAGGGAAACTGTTCTTGAAAAGAGAGAGAGAGAGGGAGAGAGAGAGAGGGAGGGAGGGAGAGAGAGAGAGGGAGAGAGAGAGAGGGAGGGAGGGAGAGAGAGAGAGAGAGAGAGAGCTGCGCATCGCGGTGGAAGCAAAACAGTAAAAGTCAGAGTGAATTCATGACGATGTTTATGTGAAGCGTTTGGATCTTCTTTTGCTGCTGGTTCGGTCAATATTGTTTGGAGAGACATCAAACTAACAGCTTTAGAATCAGCGCATAAAGGGCGTGAACACAAAGCTCGGACCCGCCCACAGATCAGAATCAGCGAGCTGTCGGCTTTCAGCCCGGACTGTGAGAAAGGCGACATCTAACTGATTCTGATCCGCGGGTCGCGCTGTGTGTTTAAGTCTCTGTGCAGAATCTGTGTACCTGCTCTCATTTACTGTCTTAACTGTTTGGTGGTTCTTGAAATTTTGTGAGATGTCACCAGAGATTCTGGCATTTCGGGCAAAAATAAATAAATCTAAATAAATTTATATTAAAAAATCGATTCAGGATTTTAATGAATCGATTTTACATTATCCAAGCCAGAATCGATTTTAATCGATGAATCGATTATAAAAACCCACCCCTAGTGTGAATGGTTGTCTCTCTTTCTGTTTTTTACTGAGACTGCTGACCTGTCCATGGTCCACACTACGATAGATGAGATAGACTCCAGCTCCCCCGTGACTCTGAACTGGATAAGTGGAAGAGAATAGATGGATGGATGTTCAGTACCAGTGCACATTTTGAGCTATGAGCATGTTTGTTGCCAAATGCAGTGATCTGGCTGCCAAAAAATGTGGACTCTAAACTCAGAGTGAACTGATGCAGAGTTCAGGTTTAGACTCACACACAGCTGATTCATGTTTCTGTCTCTGTGTCCTCAGTTTCCCAGCATGCCTCAGCTCTGGAGGTGTATGAGGGGGTGGAGTCTGTCCTGCTGACCTGTCAGGACTCTTCTGTACCTGCACGTCCCACTCTGGTGTGGAGCCGCCACGACTTCAGTCCTCCAATCGTCCACAAGCGTAATGATGCAGGAGATGAACTGAGAAACCAAAACCAGCGTTACAGGAAAAGAACGTCCATGAAGACGGACTCTCTGAGGACTGGAGACTTCAGCCTCACTCTGAGGAACCCCATCACCTCTGACAGCGGCACCTACACCTGCACCATCACTGCATTTGGAAATGAACGGACACTGACAGCAGTAGAGCTGCAGGTCAAAGGTCAGCAACACACCCAACACACCAAGAAAGACTGTTGACCGTTTAACCTTTGTTGTAGCTGTTTACACAGATGTTCAGGCTCAGCTATCGTCAGCCTGTGTGAACAGCTTCAGTCTTCATCGAGGACAAACCTCCACTCTGCTGTTTATCTACAGACTGAGTTCAGCCTCACTGTTCATAAATGAATGAATGAATGAAAGCTTTATTTGTCACAAGCAGGTTGCCCTGCAGCGAGATGGGAACCCCCCCCCACCCCCCGACCTTACACACATAACACAGACATCACATGGGGTTACAAGTCGGAGATCGGTAGCGTTGCAGAAAAACACTGAAATGTACACAACAACGGGAAGGTACAAGAGGAAAAAAAGAGACCTCCACTCATGCTGTGCTTCCATGATAGGACAGCACGAGAACAGGAAACAAAAAAAACTCCTCTGCACAAAAGCACATAAATGTCCACAGCACAGCATTATGGAAGACATGACAAGCCACAGGGATGGGTAGGGGATGTGGAGTAACCCCAGCCACACAGCAGCCATCCTGCAACGGCG